AAGAACTTAGAGTCTTACTCAATGAGCTTGTTCTACATGTTTTTATTCAGTCTCTTTATAAATATCATCATTCAGGTCTTATTTCAGAGCTCTGTTTTCACAGACTTCAATTCATATCACAATTTCATAAAGTACTGTGAGTAGTCTTCATCAGATTTCTTGTCTTTTTTTCTAATATTAATAATCACAGTTCAGATGTTCTCTGTTCAGCTTATAAAGTCTCTTAACTTATTCTCTAGATAGGTCTTGAGAACAGATTATCAGAATCTCTCATGATCATTCTCTAGATAATTCAGTCAGTTCTTGACTTCAGTGTAATAGAGATCTGTTATTGTATAGATAACAGCTTCTTCATCTTTCATATTACATAGCTGAGCTTGTGAGTCAATTTTAAATACAAACTTACAAAAGCTTTTATAGATTGTGATTTGATAAGTGATCTTAAGTGATCACAGCTTAAGAAAGTTTCTTTTCAGTTTATAAGTGTCTCTGAAGATTATGTCTAGAGACTCAGTTTAAGAGTATTTACAGATAGTAAGCATTTCTTGTAGAAAAATAGCTTGATTCTGCAGAAGATGCTCAAGAATATTCTTTACTAAGATTGATTTATTTGTGAGTTCAGAGAGTTTCTCTGTTACAGATACAGAGAATAATATTCTGTGAGTGATTGATAAGTTCTCTGAGACTTCTTTCACAGAGATTATTCATGATTCAGATGACTACTTCTGAGTGTCTGCAGTAGAGTTTACAGAGATTAGAGTATACAAGTTTCTAGTTCTTTCAGTTATAATAAGTGATTACTGACTGACTGAGCTTGAAATGTAAGAATAAGTACTCACAGATGATTATTCAGATGTTTGCAGCTTGATGTGATATATACTGTTAACTACTAGAAGTATTCACAGTAGAAAGATAAAATGTAGAGATCAAATGTATAATAGCATTCAAGCTGAGTTATGAATAGTATTTGTGAACTTCAGTCTATATAGTTGTGTGTAGCCAAGGGCCGCTAGCCCTATTGATTACGCGAGAGATAGAAATAGAGGTAAAGAATCCGCGAGAAGCGGGATTTCTTACAGTTAACTAGTATTTATAAGATTCAGATCTTTCTGAGCTTTGTGAATTTCTATAGACAGTTTATCTTTATATTCATGAGAATCTTCTTAACTCTTACAGACATACTGAAGAATGAAAATAAGAAGAAGTCATTCTGTGAATAGAGAATGAAAAGATTATTAAGAAGAGAGAACTATGAGAACTTTCTTATCTTAGAAGCTTATGAGATCTTTACAAGATTGAAACAGATATTTATAAATACAGTGATACTGTTTCATTTTAATTTCTTACTCTTAATCAGATTGAAGACAGATGTCTTCTTCTTTACAATTTCAGAAATAGTCTTACAACTACAGTTAAATAGAAACTGAATTTCAGTGATCTTTTTCTTATAGAAGATGCAATCTACAGAGATTAACTATAATATTTATAATCAGAAGCTTCTTATAATAGTGAAATTCTTCTGTCACTGATGTCATTACTTTGAGAACCTTATAACAGTGATTACTGTTAGAACTGATCATGACAGCTTACAACAGTTTACTTTAATTAAGAAACTCTTATAGCAGCAGATTCACTGAGCTCAGAGACTGAGTGAGTTCTGATTCAAGATAGAACATATTAAGAGAACTAAGAACTCAGTGAATGAACTCTCTTACAGATCAGACTATATTAAGAAGATCAGAATGATAGATACAGAGAGACTAGAGAAGACAGAAAAGTTTTACAGAATGCTCAGACTGAGTGTTATAAAGAGATTAACTAAAGAGTCTCTTAATTCTCTGTAAGAGAAGAAGAAAGAGAAAGAGAAGAAGTCTGTATAACTACTCTCTATAACACTGAGAGTCAACACTCTGAGAATCTTTATGAGAATTCTTGAAGAGAGTATCTATAATCTGAAGAATTTACAGACTTTGAGAAGCACTGTGAAAGATCTAATATAAGAGAAAATAGAGTATAAGTCTTTATAAAATCTTCTATTCAGATTGTCTGAACTGCAACTGAAGAATGAATATACTCAGTATATTCAGAAACTGCTTACAGCAGAGATCAATTCTGCAGAAATAAAGAATTGAAGAGACTTAAATAATCTCTTGTAAAGAGAGAACTAAATTTATATATCTATGAATAAGTTTCTATGTATAGAACTTATTAAAAGACATCATGACTCTTCTCTAGCAGGTCATTTTATAGATACTAGAACTTATAAGTTACTTATAAGAAAATACTTCTGACTGAAGATGTGAGAACTTGTAAAGAAGATAGTGAATTCTTATACTATTTATCAGAATTCATAGATAGTGTGATTCATATTATTTGAAGAACTTACTTCTCTACTCATCTTACAGAAATCTTGAAAACAGCTAGAAATGAATGCTCTTATAAGTCTCTCTGAAAGTAAGAACATATATAATACCTGCTTTGACAGTGTGCTGATGATAGTGAATTACTTTATCAAGATAACACACTTTATACTCACTTATAAGAACTTGAAGTCAAAGAATTTGACTCATATCTTTATCTGTGATGTGATCTGATTGCATGAATTGTCTATAAACATTGTCTCAGATAGAGAATTAATCTTCACAGAAGAGTTCTAATCTGATCTGATAACTATACTGAAGATCTTATAAGATTTAAGTATGACTTTTCATTAACAGACAGATGATCAGATAGAATATCTGATAAGTATATTAAAACAGTATCTGTGATACTTTGTCAATTACAATCAGAATGACTGAGTGCATTAATTATCACTTATAAAGTTTGTATATAATAACTTAAAACATGTCAGTACAGATAAAACTCTCTTTGAGATACTCACTGAGACTTATTCACAGATGATCTTGATAAACTTATAAGAGTATACTATAAAGTGTGATAATATCTGTGAATGAGCTGAGAGAATTCAGAAGATCTGAGAGAAAGTCTGTGAATTCTTGAGAAAGACTTAAGAGTATTAGAAGAGATATTATGACTTCAAGTATATTATAAAAAGTTTTAAGAAAGATAATAGAGTCTGACTAAGTTTAGAAAATATTATTATACAGAGATCTAGTAAGAAGCTGAATCTCTTACAGACAGAGTCTTGTATAGACTGACTGTGTGACCGTGTCTGAGACCAGAATCAAACTTTACAGTTGTTATGTTATCTAAAAGCATTACTTCTGATCATGATTTGTGTTCATCACATTGATTTCAAATCCTGTTATTTCAAATATTAAAGGTCTCAGATTCACTTTTCAAATAAAAATCTAGTCTCAGATAAAGAATATGTTTGAATTCTTAGTCACATTTTCATTCTGATCTCATTATTGAAAATGACATTAAATGAGATCATGAAATCATTTCTCACTTACATAATATCATAACATAGTGCTCATTTGTTGAAAATTCAATAGAGAGTATTATCAAATATTATTACTTTTCTGAACACAGATCATAATCAATATCATTTTAATTAAAAAAAAAAATGTAAAATATAAAAAATAACAAAAAAACAAAAACCAAAACAACAAGAAAAAATCACAATAAAAAAAAAAAAAAAAAAAAAAAAAGAGAAAGAAAAAAAGAAGAGAAAGAAAAAGACAGAAAGAGAAAGAAAAATTAAAAAAAAAAGAAAAGAAAAAGAAAAAAACAAAAAATAAAAACAAAAAAAAATCAAGATTGCAGAGCTGCAGCATTCTTAAAATACTCACTTCTCAGAGTCTTTACAATATCTATCATCAATCATATATCTCTTATAGTGAGAGTAACACAGCTGTGATGAGTCATTGTCTTAACATCATCTAACAAATAATCAGTATATATCTATATAAATGTGAATAATTAGAAAATATACACTTAAAAAGTGTGATCAGAGTGAACTCTGCTGTCACTTGAATGATATTAAGAACAGAATGCTGAAATTAATGATTTCTCTCATTGATTTCACAGACAAGGCATGTGAAGATGATCTTGAGAAATATAAGATTCTCTGACTTCTGATAGAAACAGATCTCATGAAGAGACTCTATTTTCATCATATCAGAGACTGAGTATTATCAAAAAGTATTACTTTAATACACATGTACTTACTGCAGTGATTCACTCTCTGTGTATATAGCTGAGAGTTGCAGCTTTCTCATGCTGCACAGCTCTCTCTGAGATGCTGCTGCTGATTTGTAATTCACACAGTCTTTCAGTTCAGTATATACTGTATATATACAGTTCTGCATGCTGAGGCTGTGTTAATCATTATAATCTGATGTAATACTTGCTTTTCACAGATCATGTTTTGTTTAATTGAGAGAGAGAAGAGAATGTGACTGCTGTTTTATTTAAGAGAGAATGAATAATTGAATCTGTAGAAGATAATTTGATTTCTTCTGTATTTGAAATTTGATTAGTCTATACTCTTCAATTTGAGAGTTTCTGAGAGTGTTTTAATAGTTTTCATATCAGCTTGAAATTAGTGATTAATTGAAGAAGAGAAAAGAGAGAAGAAAGAAATAAGAATAACTTATCTTTATAATATAAAAACAGAGAATTACTGCAATCATTTATTCTAGTAACAAAGATCTGTTTTCTGCATGTATCTCTGATACAGATTATATAATAACTGTATACAAAGAATATCAATAGTGTATGCATTGAATGAAGATGATATTGTTATACAATACTGTAGCTGTTTCTATACATTGCTGAAAGCTGTTAATATTTTCTTTAAGTCTCTTTATATTTGATAAGTCAGTAATATATTTCAATGCACTTCTTCTTTTATTATTATCATCATCATCATTATTATCATTATTATTATCATCATCATCATTATCATTATTATCACTACTATTATCATCATTATCATCATCATCATCATCATCATCATTATCATCATCATTATCATATCATTTCTGATCATCTCTTCTGCCTTCACTTCTCTTCAATGCTCACTGAAATTAATCATGTCATTTCTCTTCAAATATTCTGTGGTTCTGCGGATAATCAAGGCGCGTGAGCACTGTTACAGATTGAAGAGAAAGAAGAAGAAGGTGTTCAAGTAAGAGAAGACAGATTGCAAGACATGTTATAATGCCTTGAAGAGGCTCTGTAAGAGAGCAGAATGATAACAATTTTAAGTAACACTTCTAATAGATTTAGACTGAACTAAGTATAGAAATAATACAGATGACACTGTCTGTGAGAGATTGAAGAAGAAGATAGTGAAGAGTTTTATACAGTAGCAGTGAGATCAGAAGAAGTTCTGAGAATGATTTGAGACTAAGATGAAGAGAGAGAGAGAGAAGAAAAGTGTTACTATAAATAAGTAATAACAGAAGAAGATTGAGAGAGTGTTGAAGTAAGAGATAAAGAAGTCAAAACTAGTAAGTTTTTTATTTATTAAGAGATAATGATTTTTAATAATACTTCTATTCTCTAATTGATTAGTAGAAGCTGACAGAGAAGAAGAGAATTGAGGTCTTATTCAGGTCTCAAATGTGCTTCATAATTCAGAATATTGAGAAGACAGCTCTGCTCTCTGAGCATGTCAATCTGCTTATCACTGAGATGAAACCTGAGGCAGCAGATCAGAAAATGCAGGATTTTAAGACACAGATTGACCTGGCTGAGAGAAAGTAGCAGAAACTCTTCTCTGAGAAGACAGCAGAGAGAGATTTTGAGATAATTATTATCTCAGATAAGGAGAAGAAGAAGAAGAAGAAGAATGAGAAGTGAATTATGAAGAATGATAAGAAGAATAAGAAAGAGAAGAAAGATGATGAGTAGAAAAAGTTTTTTTCTTTTTATATTAATTAGTTTAGTTGTAAGTTCATAATTATTAATAAGTAAAATTAATTTTGAGTTTTTAAAAATTATTATACAAGTTGTAATCAAGTCAGGAACAATATATATATATATATATATATTTAACTATCATGATTCACAAATCACTATAATGTATAAGTATCAACATTTTTTCAATATTGATATTCATAATATTAATATATTTTTAATGATATTATCTGATAATGTAATTTAGTAATACTCTCTTTTATAATATTAATATATTTCAAGAAATATGACAGAGATTAATCAAGATTATTTGTTTACTTTTATACATTGATGATATTCAATCTGAGTTAGTACTAAAATTATAACTAAGCTAAGAAACAAGATTATTTTCTCTTATATTAATTCTTCTTACACACATCAGTGATCAGTTATTGAAAATAAATTATTATCTTTCTTAAATTATTATCATGTCTTCTGAATTCACTTCTTTTACTTCTATTGAAGATTTACAAACTCTTTAAGAAATCACTGTGAATTACAAAGTCTATATTGTTTACAATTCAATACAGAATGCTCTCTTTTAATTATAATAAATGATCACTTCATTCTTCACATCTGATTCCAGGTCATGAAATTTATGAAAAACTCAACACAAATATTGAGATGAACTATGGAATAATTATTAACAGATTGTATTACAGATTACTGAAAAGTCATCTCTCTACTGCAATCACTGTAACTTTATTTAGAAATATTTATTATAAACTGATCATGACTCTGAAGAAATTTTCTGACATCTGAAGTCATCAGAATGCAGACAATAAAAGAAAAATAATCAGAAAATTACTACTGAGCTGATAAGTTACTCTATCAGATAATGATTTTTGATAATACTAACTTTCTAATTTGAAGAAAATCATGCAAAAACAACTCTGTATCAGTACTCTGATTTCATAACTCTCATCTGATAACTTCTGTGAACAATTACTTTACATGTGTATATCTCTGAATCTTTCTCTTTAATCAATTGAAAATCCTGAATTTCAAACACTTCTTCAAATACTTAATTTAAATCTTCATATTTCACATTAATTCTGTCTTCAGTTCAATCTCAAGATACACTACAAAGTCAATATGCAATATCTAGAATCAGAGTTGAAGAATCATTGAAGAGTGTCTCTCACAGTGAATGTATAGACTAGTATAAATAATCTTACATTTATAAGAGTTACATGTTATTACATTGATGAGAACTGAACTTATTAAGAGACATTAATTGAATTTGAATCATTGATCAGTAGTCATACTGAGGATTATATAACTGAGATATTAATAACTGTGATTAAAAATGACTATTGAGATACTAGTCTCAGTCTTCTTACAATTACAACTGATAATGCTGTGAATAACTACACTATGATGAAGAGCTTGAAGCAAAAATTGACTTTGCATTTCTGAAATGATAAACAAGGTCATATTCTCTGTATTACTCATGTGGTTTAACTTGTGATGCAAATACTGATAAAGAATCTTAACATTGAGATGAAGAATAATGAGATGACTGATTCTTGAGATGAGAATGAGATGAAAGTGATTACTCAAGTAACTTTTGCATTCACTTTGTAAAAGATAATGTTTTTTGATAACACTTTTTGATATTACTTTTTGATAATGCTTTTTGATAATACTACTGTTAATTTTGAATAGATTGACTAATAATTTAAATATCATAGATTTGAAACATTGCTAATGCAATTTGTACCTCTTCTAAACAATAACAATGATTTCATGATATTCAATAAATAAACAAATCAGTCACATCACTGAATATGATACAGAATGTTAGAATATGATGAAGTTCAATATATAAGATAGCTGTTCAGACTCTTCAATTGTGTCAGATAATTGATCATTGAGTGTAATACTCTGATTGAGAAAAGATTCAGATATTGAAACTTTCTGATATGAAGTGAACTCAGTTGAAATATGTGATTGATTTACTGTTTCAGTTTTATAAGATAATAAAGACAGTCTCAATCACTTATACACCAATGCTGCAGTCAGTCTGATGAGTATATAACAGTTTATTTACTTATCTTGAGAAGCAGTTGAATCACTTAAAAAGAAATTCAGTCTGGGATGATGCTATAGCACAGGCTATTATTACTGTAAGAAATAAACTGGCATATTACTACAGTAAAACAGAACAATCTTTTGCAGAGTACTATGCTATAGCAGCTCTACTAGATCTCTTCTGTTAAGTTAATATCTACACTTCTCAAGATTGAACAGAGAAGAAATAAGACTCATATGTTAAATTAGTCTGAGACTACTACAATGTCAACTATCAGAGATTTGAATAAGCAGATATTTGAGATGTGAAGACAGTGAAATACAATTCTCTAGTAAGTAATGATCTTTGATAACACTTCATATCACATAGAACTATAATACTAACTTTGAAACAGAACTTGCATACATTAATTGCAACTGAAAATCAGGCAAAACTACATACTTGTAAAACTGAATTTGACTGCTATCTTTAAGATGATTCAATGAATTTACACATCAAATCAATTCTAGAGTTATGAAAAATTGTTAAGAGTACATATTCAACTGTTGCACTGATGACACATGATATTCTGACAATTCCATTGACAGAGGTGAGAATGAAGTGAAAGTTCAACTCAAGTTGAGATATTTATCACTATCATCAGAGACAATTACAAGGAGAAACAATCAAGAAACTCATGATTGTAAAACATGAAATTATCAGACAGTTTAATACCTCTAATCACAGTATATCAGAGAAGTGTAGTTTTCATGAGAAAGTGAAGAATAAACTTACACAAGAATGTATTTAGTTGTTTCATGAGTGTTATTAATAATTATTATCAAATTCTGATTATATAAGCAATCACTGAATGAACTGAATGAGACTGATTTTGATCTTCAGTTTCAGTCTCATTCTGATTTTGAAAGAATGATTATCTTTCACAGTTTATTCTGGAAAATTACTCTCATTTCACTGTTCTTGAATTAAATCTGGTCATTTTTCACACCATTTCTCTCAGAAATGGTCCATTTTCAGATTTTTTTGAGACTTGATTCTAATGGGACTCACGCCAAGAAATGTATAGAATCAGATCAAATGAGATCAAATGTGAAATTCATGGTCTCAGCGGCCAGTCTAGTCTTGTAAGATTATAAAGAAAGTTAACTCACAGTTCTACAGATTAAAACTGTTATCTGAGTTATAGATATATAATGTTTTTCATATCTCTTTACTCTGTAAATATAAGAAATTCTTAGAAGAGAATTCTGTAACTTATTACTCTATCTGTGAAATACTAGAGAGTGAAAGAGAATATCAGATCAAAGAAATTATTAACTCAGAGAAGTAAGATTATAAGCTCTGATTCAAGGTTCAGTAGCAAGAATATTCTGATAAGATGAATAAGTTCACTTAAGAATTATTCAGACAGATAAGATATCTGCAGAAGCTGAGACATGACTTTTATACTGTAAATTCTGATAAGTTAGAATAATATAATCTTTACTAAGAATCTGATTGTGATAAAGATATTAACACTGTTATTTATGAATTCTAGTCTATAAGATAATAAGTTTTTACTGAGATGAACAGTCTGCAGTGTATATAAGAAAAGAAGAAATTATATTCTCATTAAAGCTAAAAAATAAGAAAATAAATAGAGTTATAAACACAATTTGAAGATTAACAAAGAAAAAATAAAGAAAACTTAAACTCATATTCTTAATATCTGTGATATTTAATCTTCTTACAACTATTAATTTTCTTCTTTAAAGAAGCAGAGAGTATTATATCTATAATACAGATAATTATTACATTTAATATAAAGACTATTAGAAATACACAGACTTCAGAGAAGCTGAATATCAGAGTATATATAGTTACAGTAAGATCTTGAAGACTGATTATCTATATATATAATCAGATATCTCTTATAAAGCTGTATCTACTCTCTCAGTTATACTAAAGTATTCAGTCTGAAAATAATTAAAATACAGAGAGAGAGTTCATCTGTTCAGATTAACTCTTATTACAAATTCATAACATTTGCATTGTCTTGATTACCTGAATTTTACAGGTATCTGAGAACTTATCTCTCATTAATAATAAAATTGCAGAAATGTGCTGCAGTGTGAGAATCATTGATAGAGAATCTAGACATATTTGCATATATCTGATCAGAGATTGTGCAGATAGAGAAGAAGTAGTTATAGATCTGCAGAGCTGTAGAAGACACTGATAACATTAAAAGCTTTACAAGAACTGTCAGCTAGAATCTGTAAGAAATTACTTATAAGAAGACTTACAGCAAAGAGAGAGACTACACTGCTTAAAGTCAGAGACTGATCTGAGAAAGAAATGAGATGAGCTGCTGGCCTGAAGATCAGATATAATGACAGAACTGAGAGAGATAAAGACACAGTTGTAAGTAGTAGTATCTCTACTTCATCAGCTGATAAAAAGTAATCAGAGAAGTTATAAGAACACTTATAAGAAGCTCAGCAGTAGTCAGACATTGTTTACAAAGATATTGAAATTGAAAAATTTTTTTATTCTTGAGAAGTTCTTGAATTAATATATAAATATTATCAGAAATACTCTCTCTCTGTTATCTAAGTGAAAACACTTCACAGATGAATGAAAATACTCACAGTTTATAAGAATGAAAGCTGTTATAGAAAAAGAGAAAAGAAGATGAGATTCTGTGAACAGATCTGAGATATTTATACTACTCTAGAGAGGTTTGTTTACACTGTGAGTGATCTCACAGAACAGTCAGATTACTTTAGTAAAT